ACCGAAATAGAATGAGAAAGCTTTGTTTATTATGAAGTACATTTTAAATCTAGTCAAAGATTAGCGAGTAATGTTAAATTTAATATATTCCGTGCAGTAAGCCGCGCTAAGCCGGCGCTCCCGCCGCGGCCGACTCATCCCAAGCAGCAAGCATACTTGTTTATGATGCGTCCTCGATCGCACTTTTGATTTGTACACATTTATAGCCCTTTGAAATCTATTTTAAAACACTATTTTATTTTCATGATCTCCTTAAACATTGATGTAGTAATTTACGATCATTAGAACTCATAAAACTATCATTTTTATTAGTAAAGGTTACTTAATCTCTACATACAAAGCTATCCCGTCTTAATTCTTAGCGATGATTTTAAGAGACGAGCAATTTGTAATATCGTGTGCCATTATTAATTGTCATACATGTCATTTTTTTAATTTATTTAGAACGCTTTACAATTTAACTAGGTAAATTACAAATGAGGGACGTTGACGTTTTGAAAAATACAATGCAAATAGAGATCGTAATTACCAGGCTCATATAAACGTGCATGCAACGGGAGCGAAGTAGGGTAGTTATGACAGGAGTGATTGCGCGAGGCGCGGTGCAGCTCAATACAGCTATACCCGTGTAAGCCAACACTAATTGCGCTGCTTGCAATACATACAGCGAGCTGTGGTACGTATCATTTGATAACTTAATATCTAACTGTAACAGCAATACTAAAAGTTTTTTCAATATTTCTATACTAATATTATAAAGAGGATAGTTGTGTTTATAATGAATAGGCTGAAAAACTACTAGATCGAATTTTTTAGCCGGCTATACTTTTTCATTTCTTTATTTTTAAATTACACGGAGACGGAGTCGCGGGCAGAAGTAGCATATAAAAAGCATCAAAACTAAAACCACTACTGGCCCTTTTGTATTTTCGTACTTTAATAAACGAATTTATGTACCCGGAAAAACTTATTTTAATCTATCCAATTGTTAATACGGTTACATCAGTCGAAAATTTAAAAATAGTTATCTTTAAAGTAACAATGTACTTAGAGCAACTAAGTTACGCAGGCCTACATTAGTTAAGTGCACGGTCAGTTTATGCCACGAACATTATAAGGTAGGAAACAATGGCGGGTGGGCGATGTCTTACACAATGCAGCCGCCAACATTTCCTATCAAAAAACGATACAAAAATATCACGAGCCATTGTCGTTGGATCTTTGTTTATGGCCTAATATTTTACCAGTGAAATAGCAGCGAGATTACAAACTAGAAGATGGGAAAAGGTTAAAATAATGTACTGGGTATGTCTTTTATGACAATAATGTCTAACACACACATTCAGTAACTAGTTATAAAAAACATTGCTAGAAATTCAATGCAACGAAAGTGGACATTATGACAAAAAAACGTAATTCCTCAATGAAAACACAGCAGATGCTAGAATAAATAAATTAGTTATCTTTTATTAGAATTAATTTGGGGTTTACAAGAATTTAGATGACTAATTGTACTTAAATTTAATATTGAAAATGAAACGTGTGATAAAAAAAATGTCACTAAAACGAGTGTAGTAATAATCCAGTCTTGACCGAGATATTTAGTTTTATAATTAGTAATGAAAGACAATTTGAAACGAAGATTTAGTTTTCAAAATGCCAAAGTTCTCAACCTTACATAGTTTTACAACATTATTAATAATAGAAATATAATTCTATAGAAAATAATTACCTGAAATAAATGTAACTATATAACAGATTTTAGCAATAATCCAAACACATTCTTGCCTAATTAACCGAAAAATAGTAAAGTTTAATTATTCAAGCAGCAAAAACGTAAAAACATTTCCTTTTATATAGTTTTAATATAAACTAAGAGCAGTTTAGAAATCTATGTCAAGAGTGGCCGAGCACGTTTCGTTGCTCACTTTAATAACTTCACTAATTTTAATATAAAAACGTTTTTTAATATGTTATGCTAGTTTTAGGTCTCTCTTAAGTTTATGTATCACCTTTTTTAAACTATGCATAAAATGTATTTTCATTCAAAATAGTTTATTTTCATATTAGCGACTATTTTGCAACGATATTTGGTCTAGATATTTGGTTCTGCATCATAAATTGAATTCAATGACAGTGGTCGATTTGTCATCGAGCATATCATGCAATGCTCCTTGCCATTCATAATCCCCTGGTACTCGGCGACGGCGCTACACCCACTGCTAATCGAAGTGCCACTAACAAAAGCCCTATCAACCAGAGCCTACCCACCTACGTGCCAGATATGAATACGACGCGGTCAAGTCGAAGCAACATTTTGCGTGGGCCTGCAAACCGCACTTCAGACATACGATATGCAAACTGCACCACGATTATGCACGCCTAGTACTTTGTTATAAATAAGACTAGAAAGCTTGTTTCTCATAACTTAAATAAGCTCTCACTTCTTTTTATAGGCCTCGTCAACCGATAATCTAGAGATATCAAGGGGGAGGCAGCTGCCCCCACTCTTTTTGACAATTTTCTGGAAGACTATTTAAAATGTTTATAAAAGCCCCAAATGGTGTTCAGATGTTTTACAAGCTAGCCTTTTTACTGAAAATCCAACTCTAATTTTATTCCCTCGTATCATTTCGTATGATCGATATTCAATTGTTTTTGAGGGTGTAGTTTTAAAGTAATCAATAACACATATCCCCAGCGAGCAGCGAGCAGCGAGCAGCGAGCGGGCGTCGAGCGTCGCCGTATAATTGATTTAGGCGCTGCGTACACAATAAATCAGCCGCTTATCTGTCCGTATCGCCATCCATTGTCTATGCTTCTATCATCTGTCATAAAGCATAGACAATGCGCGCATTTATTGACCACTAGCGCTTCACATTTACTGTTTTATATTGCTTTTATAGAAGTAATTAAGCACTCTCTTTTTCGAGAACCATTTTTAACCGCTGTCACAGGTTGTTACTCATATTTACACAATTGGTTAAATAATTATCCCCTATATATATTCCCTAGTTTAATTAAACTGCTTTCAATCATGCAAAAATGATGGATTGCAAAAAAGGAGCTATACTACGCAGTATTATACAAACAAGTGCCACCGCGTACTTAACCTGTACTAAGAATGATCAATTATTATAATTGTAGCGAAATAAAATAATAAATTAAACTAGTAATTGGAAAATCTACTCATAGCAATTACGATATAAATTTTGAATCATAACTTAATATCTTTAAAGTTTAATTTTAAGTTGTTAGCAGGTTTAGAATGTCGCCGCACGTTTGTTAACCAAATACGTAAAAGTCACGCATCCACACTTCAAAGGTTTATCTACAATTTTGATATTGTAATATAAATGACCCTCGTTATGACTACACTTTTATTACAGTACAATTTATTAAAAAATTGTCACGTCCAAGTCGTAAAAGGGTCGACAGAAACAAATTAAATCGTCCAAACCTCCAAACCCCTTCTAAAGTTAAAGTCATGTCAATTTCGTTTAAATATTGAAACGAATCATTTCTTCATAAACATTTCGCTTCATAAGCACCGCTTATAAAGTCACAGATGCCAAAATTTCAGTTTTAAAATTTGGCTTTATCGTTTAAGGTGCTGTTACATATTTAAATATTGTTCAAGTATCCAAACGTTATTCTCTTGTAGTACATAATGGAAGTTTAGAAAAAGTTATCTAAAATATAGAGAACAAAATCATGCCGACAAATTAAACACTAAATAGCAACTACATGAAATACTTCGAATCTAAACGTACTCCGCCAGACCTCCCCTACCCTCCTTAACCATGTCCACCATCTAGACCATCACCATTTGAATTAAAATAGTACGATACATTGAAAACAACAAGCCATTTTCTTATCTGTATATTAAATAATGAAGACATAAATGCTAAGTATTTCATTTAAAAGATTTATAATCTTTCTACTCAAAGAGATTGTGTTTTAGTGAAGTTCTTTGTGAGCGGTTTTAGATATTTTAAATTAGGTCGCAGATAATACTTCTGGAAACTCAATGTTCTGTTAAATTGTAGTCCGAGAAATATCATTCAGAAGAATTAATTTGTACAAGAAATGACAAATTAGTAATAAATATTAAACATGATTAAGATAAAATGTGGATGAAAACTATGTATTGGAACTCTTGATAAACAACCATAATTTTTTTGTCCACTGACTAGTTACTACAATGTCGTTTTAAATTGCTCTACTATTACAACAAATGAAACAGGCAAATAATAACACAATAAAATTATATTAAAATAAAGCCAATAAAAAGAAGATAAAGACTAAAATAAAAATTATAATTAAGTGCTGTTCTAATATTCTTCAAGCGACACTCGTAGTCCCTCGAAAAGGGGCCGTTAGAAAATGACTGCCATCCAGCGATCGAGCCCCAAGATAACAGTCTGGAGCCCCTTCGCCCTTCGCCCTCCTCCCTGCGGACGACGCGACGACTCAAATCGGGTCTTATTCTCCAATACGAGTGCGGTTCCCAAATTTAATGGAATTTTTACATTTGTCCAACACTCTGACGCTCGTTATAAAAATCGATTTAGCTCCAGCTAATGCAATGTACACACTAATCCACGTCCTGTGTAAATTTGTAACAAGATTTTCACAAATTGATTCCGTTTCGAAGCAAATTCAATAAAGACGCAGAGTAAACGTTCCACGGGGATAATTTGAAACGTTTATCTAATCTAAAAGCGGCTGCTGCCGTCGCCGTGTGTAATTATTCAGAAAATCCTTTAGACCGTGGTCTTTTCCATATAATGCAGAATGTATTACACAAAGTCGTTCGAATATAATGTTGATCAGGTCTTTGTTTAGATGTCTCTTGTAATAATCCGACCTTGTCTTGTAACTTGTCTATCGCAAAAAGAAATTTTTACAAGCCTGGATTCACAGCTAACGCCATCTATTGACGCGAGCTACGCGAACAAGTTTTCCCCTTGCCGGCTCCCCGCAAACCGAAGCGCGCTCCCCGTTCATTCACTCGTCTCAGTCGGTCTCGTCAGTTCCCGTCTGCGCGTCGATTTAGTCGTACGTGTTTAAGTTGTGTGTTTACGTGAATGTTAACATTGTTATTAACAATCGCTCAGCTGTTCTAGTGTCAAATCTTTACTTGTTTTATCATAAAGCCGTATCACAAGGCCAACAACGGAACGGCAGCGTCAGTTTGTGTGAAGATTTAACGGAAAACAGCAAAGAAATAGTCACAGTCGAATGTAAAAATATACGCGTCGCAGAGAGAACCGTTTCACCGCGTGTGACTCTAATCGATACCTTTAAATGATAACATGGATTCAATTAGGTGTTGTTTTAGAAGACGGTGAGATTGTTGTGTGAGTGTTGTGTTGTGCGCCGGCCGCTCGCGCTCGACTGCTACTAAAGCTGTGAGTATTTATCGACATATTTACGTGATAACGCTGTATTTCGTTTTAGCCCGATAACTTGGCTCGATGAGATAGTGATGTACGAATTCGCAACAGAATGCATTAATAATCTTAAACCATCGTATACGCTTAGGTTGAAAATTCCATAACACGCTCGTTGCGCCACCATTTTCAGGTCGCGGAATTTATTTTCAATATTCATTTTATTGCCTGCACACTGGTTTGATCACAAAAACTCCTTTATAACAATTATGCAAATATATACTTGAGAAACGATAAATTAAAAATTAAACGGTTTTTTACCGCCAATATAAAAATGTCTTGTAGCGCACAGATATAACTACCTAACAGTAGGTAGTTCTTAGACGGACATACCAAATATGCACATTACAGTCATAAGTGGCATCAATAATTTCTCACACAGAGTTTTAAATAGAGTTGGTAACACGAGTAAATACAAAAACTAAAGACAAGAAGAAATGGTAGTAGGTGGAATATATCTATTATTAAAATTGTTCCAATTACGGTTGTGTCGCGGTTATGTAGTTAAAATAAAACGGTCCATCATTCATAACGTCAGTCGGTGGCAGTGGCAGTGGCAGGCGAGCCTCGTCTCGTTAGCCATTTAAAAGAAATTTATAATTTTCTTGGCGGTAAAATTTACCGGAAATGCAAAAGCGCGAGGCGAGAAATAAACTCCCACTGGACTCAACAGTGCTTAGCTTCCTGTGCAAAATTACTGGTAAAAATAAAGAAAAGTAACAAAAGGTCTTAAAATACTGTAGACTTTTATGACTTAGGTCTCTAATAAAATCTTACCGGTTTAGTTTAAACAGTCGTTAATTCTTTTATTATTTTTAATGTTATTTAAAAATTATTGTTATGTTTTTACTATTTTTGGTAATAAAGTCGAATTTAGAAAAAGTATATAATTTATTTAAAAAGCTTAATTTTTTGTTAAATTATCACATTTTATATAATTTTAAAAAACTTGTTTCAAAGTTATTGACCTGCTATAAAGTGAATTGATTTACGACTTTTATTATTACAAATGCAAAGAAAAGCGGAAATTTTAAAAACGTACAAAATTAAAAATTATTAACATAAATTATCGTTTCTTTTTTGGAATAGTTACTAATTACATAGATTATAAGATGCCATGAATAAAAATTAAAAAAAAAAACAGCTTAGGCAACGTATTAAAGATATACATAATCCCTAGAGATCTATCAATATACCTAACGGTACAAGACTACGATGTAGAATGGATATTATTGTATACTAGCTGTTGCTCGCGACTTCGCCTGCGTGAAATTAAAAAATATTGCCTATGTTACTCACAGATAAATTGCTTTATAATGGAGAAAAAAATTTTGAAATCGGTCCAGCAGTTTTAGGTGAATCGAATACATACAAAAATCCAAAAATACAAATCTTTCCTCTTTATAATATTAGTATAGATGTACAATGAACATAATGTACAAATAATCGTGGTCGGGATTGTTTAAAATATTTGAAAGGTGTGCATGTAAGCTCGGCGCATCGCACCCGCACACCCCACCTTATCCACAGAACTCAAACACATCTTAGGCCGCTCGCATACTAACGACTTGGTTAAAATATCATTACACTTCTAGCACTGATTCCTCTCATTTTAAACAATCGTTTTCTTATAAAATACTAGCTCTTGTATGCGACTTTGTCCGCGTGGTTTTGGATAAAATTAAAAAAGTATAACCTATGTTACTCATTGATAACGTAGATTTTTATTGGTAAAAGTAATTATGAAATCGAAACCAGTAGTTTTTGAGGTATTTTAACACATACAAAAATCCAAAAATACAAATGTTTCCTATGTATAATATTAGAACACTATCGATTAGAATTTTCTCGGCATTAACTTTTATATATATGCACAAAAATCTGCATGACAAACAGTTCATATAAAACGCATAATCTGTATGCGGCCTTATCTGTCCGGTTCCTTCCTCGGCGATGCACTTTCTCGCGAGTCTAAAATAGCCCGACTGCTCGGCTCGCCCGACTGACTCATGCCGTATTTACGACCGCCTCCTGGCTCCTGCTGCCTTTTCCTACCTCTTGCTCTGTACCTTCTTACATACTTCTGTCAGTATTGTTTACCGTCTCGACTCTTCTGCCGTCAACATAAGCTTATCTGTTGTTTTTAATGCTAAGGAGTCTACAAATTCTTCAAATCCTTGGTTTAATGAAGTACAAAGTTATTATCAGATGAGCAAATCAATATCAGGTTTTGCACTTTACGCAAAAATGGTAAATTTTTCTAATAATTTAAAACTTGATACGATAAAATTATAAAATTCGTAATATAATTAAATAACCAATTAATTGTAAAATGCGTAATTAATTAATTACGAATTATTGAATTGAACTTGTTTACTTTGAAATATTTGTGATTTGTAATTTCAGTTTTACATCAAATAAACCTCAACTGAATTATAAATCGAATACTAAAGTAACTGCTTCAAAAATATTCATATCAGCAAGAGACTAGCTTTCGCCCGTGACCCTGACTGCGTGGAGTAAAAAAAACAAAAGTGAGCCCATGTGTTCTTCCAGACTATGGTCTACGTCTATGCCAAATTCCATTGAGATCCGTTCAGCCGTTTAAGCTACAAACTCTAACAAACATCAATCCATCTAAACTTTCGCATTTATAATATCAGTTATATCGTTAAAGGCCAGATGTGTCCGCAGCGCGCCGGCGACCAGTTCCACGCATTTTTAATATACGATCATCGATTACTTTTTATTAAATATTTATTCACTAACTTTTTGTTATACAATTTAATGGTGTACAGAATTCCTCGCGAGGTATCTGAGCAAACTTGGGAACGTTGAATATTAATGCAGTAATTCGCAAAACGTTTAACATGTTCCGTGTCTCGCCAAATGTGGACTAAATGGCCAACCGTAGTAAAAAGAATACTATAAAAATTCTTTACGAAACCAATATTAAATTCAAGTGTCGATTGATTGTTTTTGTACCATCTTATTACTAGATGTCATTAAAATAAATGGAATAATACTTAAGGAGTAAAAAGTTGAAATGTCAGTTGTAGTAAAATACGTGCGAAGTAACTTAATACGAAAATTAATTAACTAGTATCGCGATATATGATGAGTTTATTATTTAAATGCTTATAGAAATATACCTATTGAATATTATGATAGTAGCAACCCTAAAGTATGTACAGTGTTCGTTTGCTCCCAACGAAGATGAGAGGCGGGCTCCGAGAGCAAACAGCGGCACCGTGGCCGTACGCCGTACTGTTTCACATTATCTAACACCTTCTAATTACAGGTAAAACGCATTAAACATAATTAGTACTCATTCGAACGGATATAAAGTCGGGATGGGTCGATGGCCGAGGAACAAACACCGTATTCCACGATTGTAGGGTTGCCATGTTCTAATTTTAATAGGAATGTCCTTGACTACTTTTGTTTCATCTTAAAATCAAATCTTACTATAATCCAATGGCTTTAGAGTGTTGTAAAAGTAAAAGGAATCAAAGCTATAAATCCGTACTTTGAATTTATATTTTTTTCCGTCTTTTACTTAATCTTATCTAATCCGAAGATTTAGATGTGTTCTGTTCATTCGCACTGCTATAATTGATTATAAAACTTTTATTGTTACAAAAGAATATATTTTCAAAGACTTAAATATCTCCGTTCATTTGGTGTTTTAAAATCCTTTACTGTGTCCGTTTAAAGAGGATTATCCGAACAACTGAAAATTTATGGTGCGTGTAATCACACGGCAGTGGGCTTATGTTTGCCGGCCAGTTGTGAGGGTATACACAGATTTGTGCGTACATTTCGGCCACGGGCCTACCGCGCCTCATTTGCATCGCCGATGCACGAGCCGCATGCTCAAATTATTTGAATCAAATACAACGTAAATAATTCCAAATTTAAATAATTATTTTTATCCACTCAAATATTCTATTACGGATAAAAATGAATTTTAAAATGTTGATTCTTTAAAATACTGATTCTTAAAAATAATTTTGGCTAAAAACTAAACCGACTTAACTAATTCCAAAACTTTCAATCAGTATCGGTTACAAAGAATAAACAATTCCAGAATGAATAGCCTTATAGTTAATGTTATTGTGCCTAAACACTTATAAAATTTTACCGTAAGTTCTGTAATAATTGCCAGTATTTATCTAGATCTTTGAGTATGTCTAGACCCTAAGGCAATTAGGTCCTTCATGTGAGCTGGAGAGGCACATTACGTAGTTAACACCTCGGATGCTGCGGACCTCCGGCCAAACAATTACTGCAGCTACAGCTGTAATTACATGATAGGCATTGGCTTTCCTGGCTAACACTTTACTTCGCACATTTATATTTAACTTCTTTCTAAGATATATATTCTGAACAGAATGTTAGTAGAGTAATGATTTCATTTCGTAGATTCCGTTAATTATTAAGGAGCGTATTTCACTGCAATATGTATGTACTTTGGACAGCCAAGTAGTAAATAGTTGTGAATACAGTCAAGTTTTTTAACACACGCAACTGCGCGGTGCCCCACACGCGTGCACAGAGCAATGCAGTACAGTTTCGGTGCGGCCATAATGCCCACTCTATTATGCAGCTACTCTACACGAGTATTTCCGACTCGAAAACTTATCTGTGTAACATAAAATGTTTTTAAACTGGCTGTTTTTTTGAAACGTCATTCAATTCACTCACGCATGTTAATCCTTCAAATCCCACCGGTTGGTTATGAAATTTCATTTTTCAAGTGCACCGCATTTGTCGAGTTTTTTAACGATTAATAAAAAAGGATGGTAAATTTTATTAAAAATGTTTTTTAAGTATGTAATTTTTAATGTTAAATTTAATGAAAAAGGAAGTTAAAAAGTTTAAATTTTTACGTAATGATGACATTAAGCGTTGTTAACAAATGTTGCGAAATGACTGTAATTAAACGAATTTCGTTT